GGAAAGAGAGAGAGAGAGAGAGAGAGAGAGAGAGAGAGAGAGAGAGAGTTGGGGGATTGTATGTGCATGTGTGAACTCTTGTAGAAGCCAGAGGACAATCTGAGGTGTCATTCCTCAGGTATTGTCTACATTTTTTAAAAAAGAGTCTCTTACTGGACTGAAATTCGCCAAGTAGTCTAGGCCGGCCGGTGAGGCTCCTGGATCCACCTGTTTCCATCTTCCCAGTGCTGTGATTACAAGCACACACCACCATACCACACATGGGTTCAGGTCCACTTCTCAGCACTTTATTGACTGCGCTATCTCCCTAGTCTTGCTACAGTTGTTTTTAATGAAATGAAGTGAGAAATACCTGAAGAAGGTGCCTATATAGCTGCAGGAAAGCTTTGGAGCAAGCAGAATTGGTCTTTTCTTACCTTCCCAAAACTCCCCTTCCCCAGCACCATGAGGAAATTGAAGTCAGTGAGTTTCACTCTGTCAAGGTTGTTGGAGGGTTGCTTCCTGTCTTCTGAAGGGTTGATGACTTTGTTACCAGCAGGGCCAAGCTTGGCTTTCTAAATCAAGCACAAACAGTAAAGTCATTGGTCTTTCTTCCAAAGAGAGTGGCAGAAAACAGCACAGTCAATAAGTTGGATGTTGGCTGGAAGGGCAGATCAAGGGGGTGAGAAAAGAAATTTGAGAGTATGGAATGAGTGATCTGTGTATCAATGGCTATACACATCCCATGGAGAAGTCTGCAAAGTAGAGAAGCTTGCCCTCCTTATTCTTAGTTAACAGCACTAGACAATTAACCAAGAGTCAAGTTACAGGAATCTGCCAAAGGCAAGTGAATTGTAATTCCAGGATGTAATTTCTTTCAGGCTAATAGTGTTTCAAGACTGTTAACATAATCAAGGAAATGAAACTGTGTGGATGTTTTCCTTCTTTGCAGGTTTCATAATTTAAAATTAATTCATATGAAGGAAATTTGTATCCAGGCAAAAAGACAGCAGAATGTTCTCTAGAGAGAATGTGCTTAAATGGTGAGCTTTGAAGATGACTTATTGCTACTTTCAAATGTACAGTAAGAAATGGAGGTTTGGTTTTGTTTTGTTAAATCAAGATTTGAGTTAATTAAAAGAAACAGCGATGCTCATGGTGATCCAGTTTCATATGAGCCTGGAGAACACCTAGTAAATGATGCTTGGATACCAGATGGAGTTTTTGTACAGTAGAGTCATGCCACATGCACTATGGCCCTGGAGGGAATCATGGGTGTCATATTCCCATGGAGAGTCCTATACTCACTGTAAGTGGGGAAAAGTAAGAGGACTTAGCAGAAAAGGTAAGGCAAATGAGACCCCATGGCATGGTTGTGATGTCTCCGTGGTCAGCCAGGAAGCCCCAGGAAAAACAGAAGCCTAGAGTGGGTTCAGAATTCTGCCTCTGCTCGACAATGAGAGAGGTCCAGGGTCCTGGGGGTTGGTGGATCTTCCACAGCCTCAGCAAGAATTTCAAGGGCAAGGATAGTTGCTTTGGATGCAAGCTTCATGTACTCGGTGTAACACATCTAAGTGTGGCTTTGCACTCAGGAGCAGGTGCTAGGATCTCATTCAGGTCAACACCTCGGTGGGTAGGTGAACACCAGGTAGATGGCAAGGAGGTATAGAGGCATGAGAGGGACTTCATTATAGACCAAAGCCTTGGCGAAGCTGAGTCCTAGCTCCAGAGAAAATGCGGACCTACAGGTTTTTTTTTGTTTTAGCAGCAAAGGGTTATAAGCAGTCACTGGCATCCCTCTTGTGAGCACTGTATCTTGTCCCACAATTACAGAGTGAGCCACCGTATATGGGGCTGTTCAGTTAGGGAGAATGTGCATCCATCAGTTGTGCCCACATTTCCAGCCCTAACACATGATTTACATGCATTATGATTAGCTTTCATTGTCAACCTGACAGAGTCTGGGATCACCTGGGAAGACCACCTTAGTAAGGCACTGTCTACCTTGGGTTGGCCTGTGGGCATGTCTTAATTAAGTTAATGGATATGGGAAGACCAAGCCCAGTGGGGGTGGCACTACTCCCTAGGCAGGGTGTCCAGAATTGTAAAGTGGTGGGGAAATCCAGCCGAACACAATCAGGCGAGTGAGTGAGCATCTGAGCATCGATGCGTTTAGTTCCCTCTGCTCCTGACTGTGGATGTGATATGACCAGCGACCTCAAGTCCCTGGGCTTTGACTTGCCTACAGAAAGGGATTATAACTTGGAATTATGAGCTGAAAGAAACTTTTTTCTTTCCTAAGTTAGTTTTTGTCAGGGTACTTTAATCACATGCAACGTGTCGGATAAATGGATAAAGAAGCCTGACTGACGCTGCACGAAGGGGTGGCGCTTCTTGCTTTTCCCTGATAGAAGCAGCTGGAGCCAGATCTTACACACTGAACACGTGCTCTCTGAATGGCACACTCACTCAAGCAGAGCCACGGGAACAGGAGGGAATGACGGCTCTGGCTTTCTTCCTTCAAGCCTGAAAGTACTTAATAAAGTTCTGATTGTTGGGAAGCTCAAACGTTCTCTCTGAAGGTTTGGCAATGGATTGACAGGAGAAAAAGCACAGAACTTTATTTACAGTGCACACAGGCAAAGGAGTCATACAAAGCATGAAACTCACAGAGGGGCCAAATGGTTGAGGCTTAAATATCTTCTCACAGGGAATTGGGAAGCAAGGGGCTGAGGCAATTTTATAGAGGGAATAAATTATTTTATTATTTCTTATGTGCGTGTGCATTTTCACATGTGAAGGTCAGAGGACAAACTTTGAATTTCACTCCTCAGATGCCATCCACCCCACTGACCTAGAACTCACAGGTAAGCTAGACAGGCTGGCTGTGAGTCCTAGTGAACCTCTGTCTGTCTCCTCAGTGTTGAGATTACAAGCATGTACCATCGGGCTCGGTTTATATAACAAAACAAAACAACAAAACAAAAACATCTGGCTTCTGAGGGTTTAACTCCAGTCCTCCTGACTGAGCGCTTTCTCCAGCCCATATATCATTTTTAGTGCAAAGAATGAGTCTAAAGAACAGACAGTGACTTGGGAAAAAAAAAAGGTCCTCTGGGTTCTGGGTATGGTGTTTCCTTCTCAATCTTTTCCTCTGTGAGTTTAATCTACCCAGCGAGTACAATCTCACTAGGAGGCTTGAAGGCAATTGGGCCTCTCTTTGAGGATCTTATGTTCATGCAGAGCCCTGCCAGTGGCTGCTGCCCCTAGTAAGTACTCTCCATTTCAGTCTAAAGAAGCATATTTTGGGGTGTTCTCTTCTAAGCCTTCATACCTTCTCCCTCTACTGGTATGAGAACTGGAGCTCATGGAAACATGGAAGCCTAAGAAGATAAGTCATGAATTATAGTGGCATATGACCTCATCCCCTTTGTCAAAGATGGAAGAATTTTAAAGGTAGAATTGGGGGGGGATAGCCAGATCCAACCAATTGGGCTTCTCTACTGTGGGGCCTGCCCAGGCCTCTACACAGGAATGACTGCAAGTCAAGACATATTCTGGTCCATGTCTAGGTTTAAAAGAACCGCTGGAAAGTCCCTTTGAGATGAGAATTCTGACTCTACCACTCTTTTCTGCTCTTCTGTTTTAGAAATGTCACCACCAAGAGGCAGAGATTAATTTTGTTTTCTCAGAATCCTCTCAAGAGCCTATGGAAAAACCTCAAATGCTGCCAACTCATGGAGTGCCTGACACACGTTGGGAAGCACCTTCACCTGAGGAATGTTGCTAATCATGTTGTCTGGCTTCCATGGCAGCACAGGGTTCTAAGCAGCATTCCAGACTCAGCTGGCGTTCCTACACAGCCACCATTACTTCCCCCCTTGACAGGAAACCTGGGATGTTGCAGGTGACAAGCCTCTAGAACAGATGTAGTGTCATTTACCCAGGATGCATCACCTGCCTTCACACAGGCCACAGTGTGAAGTGACCTTAATCTAGCTATAGGGACAAGACATTATCCAGTCAGGCTGAAATGGATGTAAAGACAAGAGCATGTTGACATTCAAGTGCTTTTTTTTCTTTCCATTTTTTATGTGCATGGGCACACGTGTGAGTGCACATGCGTGAGTATGCCTGTGCATGTGGAAGCTCGAGGTTGGTGGCAGGAATCATTATTGCCCTTCTACCTCATTCAGTGAGGCAGGGTCTCTCAGTCAAACACTGGCCTCACTGACCCAGCTAGTCTCATTGGCCAGCTTGCTCCACCTTCTGAGGCTGGAATTACAGGCAGACAGCCTGCCTAGCATTTACATGGGTTTTAGGGATCTGAACTGTAGTCCTCACACTTGACCACACTTGACCACTGAGCCAGCTCCCCAACCCACATTCAAGTATTTCTGAGCCCAACTGCAATTTGGACTCTGGTCTGAAAACAGGCTGTAATCTTGGGAGAACAGTGACAAGAGGACTCTGGCTCCAGGGGAGAAAACACTCAACAGAGGGGGACACCGGCTTTCTGACCTACAGGAGTAGATTTCAGTGTCTTGTCTCTATCCAGAAACGGGGTTGAATTTTCAGTGGCTGGCAGAGCCAGGGGAGAGGGAGGCCAGCATGTGGGGTCCAGAGCAGGCCATGCTGACCTCACTAACTGCACTCATGATGGACAGCTGGCTGCTCAGGGGCCTGGCCCACAGGTGGGGATAAATTCTCTCCTGCCTAAGTCAGCCTGGGAAAGAGTGGCCCAGGCATCTATCTTCATGCAGCTGTCCCAATCGGGAGTCAAGCGCCCTGTGGTTTCCCTACAGAGCATTCCACTGCCATCTGCAAGCCTTGTTGTAGAAGGACACAGAGCCACCTCAGATAACAGTTTTCTAAAGCTGTAGGAAAATCCATGAGTGTTTCAACCCCAGGGGTCAGAATCTGCCTTTGGGCAAGCCCCATTGGCACCAGCGGTCTAAAATCTAGTTTGAGGAGACAGCCAGGCATACCTAGCAGCTGTGTCAGTGGGGGTGCGGGTAGGGGCTAGGGGACAGCCTCATAGGACTCCCAGGTGGGTTACGGGCCAGGGACCAGATGCTATGAACAGCTTTGACCCGCCTTGACCTGGCTGCAAGAGTGGTACCCTCCCTGAAGATAGCTGTTATTCTCCCCTTGGGCTTTTCCTCGATAGCATGTGAACTAGAAAATATTCATTCATAGTGTCTCTTGCTTTCTGTCACTCAGGCTAATTCAGTCTCTCTCTTCTGGTCTCACTTGGTAGCACCCTGGCACTTGCCTTGAGGCTGATTCCCCATCCATCCTGCCCTGAAGGCTGTTTTCTGGGGGAGCTTATAGAGGAGTCAGTAGGAGCCTGTCCTGGTTTTACTGAGGTTCCCATCTTACAAGGAGACAAAGGCTGAGACCTTTAATGGATGACAGGAGAGCTTGGTTTCCCACCATCTCTCCCTTATCCCCACCATTGCCTCATCCTCTGTTCCTGCCCGTTCCCAAAGCACCTCACGCCTCTGCTGTCAGACAGAGGCCTTAGCTTCTCTCTCCTGAACCATTAGCTTCTGCTATGCTAGAAGCTACCTGT